ATCATTTTTACAATATTGAAATCAAAATTTCTGATTTCAAGTTAGTATTCTAATTTATGAAAATGATATTTAACAAATATCTTTATAAATATCTACAATATGCTTTAGTAATTAAATAGAAATACGATAAAAGTTTCATAAAATATTTAAATTTATCTATGATATTAATGAATTTTAGAATTTGTAATTTTTATCACACATGTAATTCAAATCTATCATTATTTATTTAATACAAAACAAGATATTTTAAAATATTAAAATTAATTTGATTTAAAAAACCATCATACTTTTTATTAAAAAAAATACCTTTATTAAGGTTTTTATGCTTCACATCAATTTAATCTTTTTATCCATAGAATTATGGTAAATGAACTTGTAACTTCAAAAATTTTCTGTCTGAGAAATACACAAAGAATAGATAAGATCGATTGGCCTTTCTAAAATATTATAATCCTTTATTAGAATTTAATGAAAAATACTACTTCTATATCAAATATCATCTTAAGATGTAATTTAATCTAATTTCTAAAATGAATTAGAAGTTGAAGAAAAAATAGAGTAAATTCTTTAAAGTAAATCAAAGAATTACTTATAAAAGGTAAGCAAAATACTTTCTCTTTAAATTAAGTAGCAATCTAATTAGATAAAAGACAATACAATTCTTTTTCTTTAAAATACTTGCATCAAATATTTATATTTTAAATAATATAATAATTAAATAAGATAGTTGAGAAATTACATTGATTAGAACTTAGGAGAGTAAAAATACATGATTAATAATAGAGAGAAGATATTTGATTTAAAAATTAACCTTGATTTAAATGAAAAATATATGACAAATCCATCATTGGAATTAGAATGGCTTAATTTCAAATTGAAGGTAAAAATTGAAGCTTGGAAAATATTCAGACAAAATAATATTTTTGAGTATTTCAAGATAAACTCTATTTATATTATGTTAATTATGAATATGGGGTTTAAAAATGAATTCTGAAGACTCAAAATAAAGGAAAAAATGGAAAGAATAACTTAAGATTTAGTTTTTATTTAATGTTAGGGTAAATGATTTCTCTAAAGAAAAAGGGATGAAAATTTGAATTTGAATAGAAATAAATAAAATTTTCAATTAGTATTTAATGATAGTATCTTAGCAACTTTCTAGTAATTATATATTGGTGCATGTAAAAGTAGTAAGTAATAAAAAAGAAGAATATTTTTATGATAGAGAATAGGATATATTTGTTTGTTGAGGAGGATCTTGTAGTATAAATGGATATGAAAATTTCTGTGGTTAATATTGAATTTAATATAAAGAGGATGTGAAGTAACATATAGGGTGATTTCCAACAGTATTATGAGCCAAAAATGTATTTTTGACAAAAAAATAAAATTGGATAATAGATAGATCAGGATAAAAGTCAAGATAATTTATTGTAAAAGACCTAGATTAAATATTTATTGTTAATTTTTATTATATAAAATCACGTTTGATAATGATTAGACTAATTATTTATAATAGAAATTTTCAAATATGCTGATTATTATTTAATTATGATAAAAAAGGAGAAAAAATTGAGTATCGATAAATAATTGAAATATCTTAATTTTATATGTAATGAATTGCTTCCTAATAATCCTTAAAACATTTTTTCATCAGTTTCTTTAAACTTTTTCTAATTCATAATTTTTCACTATAATTTTTTCAATCATAATCTATATCCTTTGGTGGTTTGATTTAATTACTTTTTTAGATTAATAGCTTGAATAGTGGATAAATAGAGCACATAAATTAAGAATTTTGGATAACCACATTTTTGAATCATATGTTGTTATTACATTAAAAAAAAAGTTATTATATAATCAAAAATTATTGGAGAGGTAGATATTTAACCTATCATGTCTCAATTTACTTGGATGAATCAAAGTATTCATAGTTGTGATTATATTATTTTATGATAGAAATAATCATTTATTTTATATACTAAATCTAATAAATTCAATAAGATGTAAAAATTATATTTGTGTGTGAGCATTTAGTCATAGAGGATACTATCATTTTAATTTGGGTGAAGGATATTGTATCAAGGAAAATTGATTGATCAGATTCCTTTGTATATGATAAATTTATATAATTCTAAATTTAGTTGTATTAAAATTAAAAGTGATATATACTTACAAATCGAGATTAAAATATTAAAACCTATTTTTAAGAATACGGATTACTTTAATTATATATATGAAAGTTTCGTAAAAAAAGACTAGAATTAGTTACATATCTTATATCAAACCTGCAGAGTCTTAATTTTTTTAATTCCTTTAATATAAAATCTGCTATCTACTATTTGCCTTCTCTATTATAATTCATGAAAATTTTATCGCTTTTCATGTTATGTTTAATGACCGATAAAGGATGAAAATTTTGTTTCCTATTATTATAACTATTATAAGCTCTTTGAAAATTAACATACCAAAGCAAGTACATTCATAATTATCATTAAAATACTTTCTTAAATTAGAGTAATCTCCTTTTTTTTTGAGATCTCTTTCTTCAATTTTATAGAATAGTAGTAAAAAGTTTAGAAGAATTAATTAGCTTATGTTCAAATTCATTAACCATGCTATTAGAAATTTACTAAAATTACAAAGGATATTAGCAGAATCTGTTAAGACATAAGGGATTTTCCATAAATATCAAAATTAAAAATTTGCCTTCTCTATGAGTTTTAAAGATTAACTTAAACTTTTTTTTCTTAATACGGCATGGTGTTTATTTATTATGGCGACCCATAACAATATCTTCCAAAGTAACAAATTCTTTAATACATTATTAGTTATAATTCACCAAATTATTTAATAAGTTTAGATTTCAGTTAACTTAAACCAAGATTCTAGTATCCGGTATTATAAGGGTTTCAAAGAAAACTGAATAATACTCTTAGTGATTAACTATAAGATTATTACAAAAGGATTTCTGACTTGCAAAAACACCTCGATTATGAATATAAACCATCCTGATTTATTTAATGCACTAATAAACTATTTAATAAAGTTTTACCTTTTCAACATCTGTTTAATTATTTTAATCAACCATGGAGTATAAGATGATTTCTGATCTAGTTTAATATTATATAATGACGGATTAATAAAGCGAGTTAATCGTTATTAAATAATTTAAATCTGATTTAGATCATTATGATAATATTTTTACTGTTATTTAAATCGCTTCCAAAAACACCAAGAAGCCTAACTTAATCTGCTAAGTTTTATATTCTTTGAATTGATATCATGATATATAGTTAAAGTTTTACCATTTATTTATCTTACACCTATGCTATCTTTATTTTTTTATTGGCTCATAGACTAGATCATTATTAATCTGTGATTATTTTTCATATGTTCTAAACCTTTCGTGATCTCATCTTACCAAGATTCTTCATAATATGCATTAAAAGTCTGAATTTCTCTTAGATAAGATTTATCTAAAAGTCGATACTCCTGAATCAATTCGACTAAAGAAGAAAAATCAAGTTAATTATCTTCTGATAATATGTTTAACTTTAATTTTTTAAATATCAACTGCAAGAATTTCTACAAGAACCTCTTCTTCTAAGAGAGGACTTATTATTTTTGTTAAAATATTTTTAACGAACAATCAAAAGTTATTTTTACTTGTTTAAATATTCACTTCTATACTAAATTATTATTTTTAGTACAATTTAATCAAGTTTATTGGAATTTTATCAGATTCTCAAAAATAATTAGGTATTAAAAAAAGATTTAAGATTTAGGATTATAGAATTAGAACTGCATAACTTGGAATATAAAAACGATTTATTAATGTAATTTTTAAATGTTAATTATTATTTAATCCTTAGTTTGCCCCTAAAATTATCCTTTAAAAATTGGTGGAGACTCATTATTAAAATTACTTTATATTACTGCGGATTTAGTAAAAATCTTTCTAAAGAGAAATTAGAATGAAATCAAAAAGTCCTTTTGTATTCATAGAAAAAATCTAATGCATATTCAAGGTTTTTACATAGATGATATTTTTATTTTTTTGATTAGAATGTTAAATTTATTCTAATTTTCATGATTTTTTAGAAATTACTTAAAATATGGTTCATCTTTATTTCACTTACAATTGTAATTATCCCTGTGAATTATATAATTTAATTATGTTTGCTGATTTTTAATTTCTTATGTAATAATTTACAATTAGTTTTCATAAATAACTGAATAAATAATATTAATATTTTTTAATAATATTTCATTGTTCTTCATATCTAATAATATTTTCTTATTTAAATTTCACATGATTTTCTATCCCAAGTCATCAAATACTCTCCATCTTCACTCATCTATCCATATATATAATTATGTCCAAAATCAATAGATTATTGTGTTATAAAATCACCATTTTGGTTCCTTATTAAATTAACATTGTATCCATTCTTATTCACAACCAAACATTTCTACTTTATATATTATTAAGGAAAGAAATAATTACAACCATTACAACCACTTTTAACAGCAATTTCTTTTATTTTTGAGTATTATTTATTAGTACTACTCATCTCATAAACATGCATCTACTCTTTTGCATTAGGTTAAAATGTGAATACATTGTCATTAATAAAACATAATCGATACCCATACTAATCAACTGATATCTTTTATATGACATTCCATTTTAAATCCTAATATGACCATTCTATTATTAATATTAATTTATCT